TTGAAGTAACGTGAAAGCCATACCTGCCTGCTTCTCTCTTTCTTTAACTCCTTTTTGTGGACATCATCTTGTTTTTTTAGGACTTTCTTGATATGTTGCATCAAGTTATCACTAACATCCTTCTTTGATCTACAAAATCCTAGACAACTGCAAATAGTCTTGGTGGCATAGGCCAGCATGATAACAATCATCAGGGCAATTGTTAGTAGGATTGCAAGTTGAATCCAGCGATACACAGATCCGATGCCAAGTGTGTCAACAAAAGTCAGGACATTGTCCAGTGAGGAACTCCAGAATGATTTAGTGACCACTGTAGTGCCATGATGAGTCCTGCCAGAAGGATCATCAATAATAATGTCGCCATTTCTCAAAGTGCCAGTTAATTGCAATTGTATAACATTTGAACACAAGAGCTGGCACATGAGATTAAGGTCCTTCTGGTGATACCTGAAGGAGAATTCATAAACTGAAATGGACTTGTTCACAGACAGCGGTATTGTTAACGGCACTTCTGGACAAAGAATGTTCACCACACCTCTTGATGTGACAACTAGGTCTATCGTGACAAGAACACCAGTTGCACAGTTGAAGCAGCCATCGAATTTCAACTTATGAAAGACACATGTGGGTCGAACGTACTCTACATTTACAGATAGGCCAGACAAAACCAATTGGGACTCAATTGAAAAGCTTGAGCTTAGCTTTGCCCTGATACTGCCATTAGTGTGGTACAAGTAAAATTCTGGCCTCACTAGTGGTAGTTTCTTTGCATCTGGTAACTTGGAAATCAAGGGTGTTCGCAAAATGCAATTTGAGTCCTGGAATTCAACAATCTCCTGATTGAATTTACAGTTTTTGGTGAAACTGTGAGCATCAGCCTCAGAGGGACATTGAATTGTGCCAAGTTTATCAAGGACGAATGTTCCTCTTTGATTGCATGTAGTTCCATAGATATTATCATGATTCCGAATATAACAGTCAGGCAGGCTCACCCATTGAGGTATGTTTTTAGACACAAGCTCTAGTTTCATTTTGTCATCAATGTATGAACTATGTTGTGATAGGGTGAAATCCTTGATAACTTGAGATGTGTTCAAATTCATGATGATCTGTAAATCTGCTGAAACAGACCATGAGTCACAGAATATTGTTGGGGTTATAGTCCCAGGCTCAGGATCCAAAGATGCGATGGTGAGAAAGCAAGCTTGTGGGGAGAACAGAACTTGAAATGGAGCAAAGAAGCACAATTGATTTGCAATGTCAGGTGGCATATTTCTGCATCTGCCAAGTTTGATCATTTGGCCAAATTTATCTGATTGCATGTACTCATCAATTGCTGGGGAGCAGCCTGACATCGTACAGAAATTTGACAAGCTTGGACAATAGTTCTCGTTCATACATTGAATGTGTGGGTCAAACGTCCAGTAGGCAATTTCAGATTGGCAAGTGAGGTAAACCTCCTTTGACCTGAGCTTCAGGTAACCATATGTGTGATCCTCATGTTGCAAGCTTAGACAGATTTCCTGATCCATTGCTGGTATCATGACTCTGGAAGTTGAGTAGAAACGGCAAGATCTGGTGTTCTCATCATTCAATGTTACTTCCACTCTGGCTGGGTTGATTGGGGTTCTCTGAAGGACCAGACTCTTCGGCAAGTTCCACTTCCAAGGGGATCACTCTGTTCACTGGCCTTCTTACCCGATGTTTATTCGGCAGCTCCACTAATACTTCTCTTACGGTGCCCTCTGAATCCTGTCGTATCTGCACTATGCGACCGATGATCCATGCACTCCTCGGCTGCGTTGGCTCCCAAAGTAAAACCACCGTACCGTCCTGTGGTGTTGAACTGGTTCCTCTTCTGCCATCCATGCGCAGTCTGTGATGCTCTTGAGATGTTCCTCGATCTGATTGAGGTTCTGACACTGGGGAATGCTAGGAATATACTCGTCAATCTCCGTGCATTTGTCTTTTTGATGACAGAGAGACAAATCGTAGTTCCGGGTTCCAGCACTCACCAGATAACAAAGCCGCCCAGATTTCGTTGTCAATCAATAATAAATGTACAGCTTGCTATTTTTACAGTGACGAGCCTGCTGCTTGGCTGGCATCAGAGCCTGCTTGGCATTTCAGCAATATTTCTGTGTGGGGAAGTTTGATCGTTAACGTCTTCTTTTAAGACAATGGCCACTTCCTTCAATATTTGACCAGGATACCTGTTGGTTACAACCATGAGCATTCAGGCATCAGGCCCGTGAATTCGCTTTTGTCGCAAAACTAACATTTTTGCCTTATGCTTTTGTTAATTAAACTTTTATCTCGAATTAAGACATAATCAAATAATAGTAACGAATAATCAAGCGAATGCACAGAAAATAGATAAAATTAAACCTACGTTACTTTACTTGTCGCCTTAGTGCAGAAGCGCTTATTATTATCTATATATATTAGCCTAAGCTACAACAGCCAAGATTTCAAAGAGAAAAACAATAAAAAGCATAAAAGAAACTATGCAGCTAGTTTACCTTTGGATGATGCTGCCGTACCGGCTGTTTATGCCGGGGTCGGGGCGGGCTTTGGGAGACGTTTCTGGCCAACGTCGCGGATGGAGACGGTTTTCATTGGATAAGCACTTGCGAGAAAGCTAACCGATTATTCCATAGTTAGCAGAGCGGGTGCTTTTAGTAAGATATTTTTTCGAATGAACGGGTTCAAAAACGTGAAACATAATCGGTTCAATAGAAACACAGCTATTGAAAGAATTTCGATGGGGAATTCTTATACATGTGATTGATGAACAGTTTACGATTCAATACGTTGATCCAACACGTACAAATTGTCCTCAGCGCTGAAATAAGAAGATACTGAATATACTATTTTCAGTATATCCTGGTCCCCTGTCGTAGTTGTGAGATGAAAATCGTCAATTGTTATGTTATTATAGTCTTATAACACAAACAGAACCTGCTCTCGACATCATACTTGAAGGCACATTTAGGAGATTATGGTAGTACAATCAACTGAGATAAGGGCCAAACTAGAGACTAGAAACAACGCTGACGTTGTCAAAGAAGGTGTGGCCTTCTCACGTCCAACTCAGATAGATTACTGTAGTTCGCTAGCCCTCGTGGCAAGGCTGGTTCGATCGTTTTGTGGGTGTTTTCGTGGTACTACTCACTTACTCCTACCACATGGAGTTAGTGCAGAACACCCACCCCCTCTCTTCCCAGTCGCTGAACTGCGCCAGGCTTTTCCATGAGAGCAAGTGCCCCTTTTTCCCAGCCTAGACTAAATAAGTCCCATCATCTGAGATTACATACGTCACTGTAAAAGCTGATTCTGAGTAGCTCAAGCTCAATTGACAAACCATTTCCCGTTGGTGCCAAAGTTTCTCGAATTTGGCCTACCATCATATGGTTTCATAGAGATTGGACCCCTTTCCTATTTCAAGCAGGTTTTTTTCTCTTCTTTCATCTCACCGTTCGATGTTAATTTCAGAGTTTCATTGCGTTGATGTTTGACTCGGGTCATACATGAAATTACCTCATAAATAATAAATAAATTAACCATTAAATAAATAAAGAATAATTAAGTACATATATAAAATGATGTGTATATGTGTATGTGAAAGTGTTTTTTGAGCCATTAAGAACGAAAGCTTTTCTTTGCAGGTTTTTGACCGTTTCATTTCGTTTTTCGCCATTTTCCCCACTATATAGGGCCCTGCTAGCATTTTAAGGCGAGTACCAAATTACTGTGCCAATGCCATTAAACCATTAATGTATAAATAAATAATATGGGGTGATGTTTTGAAAAACGCCCGGTAACAGGTCATCATCCAAATGCCCCTTATATTGAACCTACAATGGTTTCATAGGACTAATTAGGTTCCATAGGAATAGTCAGTATAGTCTGCTATACCCAGGAGAATCTATCGGAGTTACCGTGCAACCCGCAAAGGGCTTGTGCCCAAGTAAGCTGTAAAAAAGGTTTTTTCTTCCAAGTGCTTCCTTGCTGATCACTAACATCTACAAACATTATCAATGGAGTTCCGCCTTGGACTCAGAGAAACGGCGACTGAGCACTGACCACACCTACTCTGTCAGCTATTCTCACTCTATATATTTTTTTACATCATATACAAGTAGTTGCCAGCGAGGCCCAACACCATCGCTTCGATTAACATGACCGCGACACGGCTCCACTTCCATGGCCGCGTGGCGCAATGGATAACGCGTCTGCCTACGGAGCAGAAGATTGCAGGTTCGAATCCTGCCGTGGTCGGAACTTTTTGACATTGAAGACAGTTGTTGAGCATAAGCAGTAATGATCAGGTTTTCCAGCATCGTTCGCAGGATGCGCCATACAAATAACTTAAACTTGTAGATCAAGAAGAAGGATAAAGTCTTCGCCGTTGATCAATCCCTTTGTGGGATGCGGCACGCATTCTACTTCCATTCAGAATCGTAGTGGCTTATTGAATGCGATGTGGCCTATACAATGACTTGCGGTGGCCAGCCGATGTACAAGTCAGTGTTTTATCCTTCCAGACGAATCTGGTACCAATTTACCGTTCTCGAAGAGAGAAGGCTTGGTTGACCTGAGCGTGAGTCGACCCAGGATTTGAACCCAGGACCGCTCACGTGATAAGCGTGCTGTCGTCCACTGCACCCCGCTTAACTCGTTGAATATGCACAAAGACAAAGTTCCTGTGTTGATATAAGGAGCTGCAGCTTCGCACTCATTCCATATGGAAAGACACGATTGTGAGCCAGGGGAGTCAGGGTAGGAGTGCTTATGAGCGGACGAACTATTTCCATTCTGTGAAGCGACATCCTGTTGCAAATAGGTGAGCACTACTTTTGTGAATATTTACAAGAAAAGGAAAAGTATGAGCGAAATAAAAGGGAAGAGACTTCTGATACGGAAGTTAGAGAAATGTTCTCCCGATATAACCCCTTCCCCACTGGCTTGTATAAACCGCTTCGAGCAAAGGACCCTTTTTCAATCAACTATTTATGCGATGTAGTACCTATAGTAGCTATGAAGTAGTATTACGTCGCTGCTAGCTACATAGGAGGAGGGAGTGGTATAGCGCGCGTGAAACGAGAAAATTAATCAACGACAGGAAGAAAAATCTCTTGTCGAGTTGGAAAAATCCTAACTTAAAGGCGATTCCCGCAATCAGATGTTGCTGGTAGTGGGTGCTCAATGAACCAGTTAGTCACGTCAGTAAACTTCCAGTTGAGAAAGAAGGCAATAAAAAAACGCGAGGAAAACTCTGAGCCGAGACCACCTTTGGGCAGTGGTGGCCGGCACCTTGACGAGTTTGGTTCCTGACTGTCAGCAAGCACTTCAATGAGCAGGTTTCGACGTGCAACGATTCCCGGCAAGAGCGCGGGGAAACATCTTACCGACCCTCAGGCATAACGCTACTGTATCACACGCCATTTCCTTGTTAAGCCGTTGCCTGCATGAATGAAAAGTGTAATCGTGGTCGCAACTGTTGCAATGATCACATGGCTTCTATGCTTCTGTTTATCGCACCGTTCTGATCAAGTGGGCCAAGAGGGTTGGGTATATTTTCTGCAAAATGCGGCCAACGATGCCAAATGCACGGAAGCATTTCGCGGACCACATGATCGTGGGAACTGCCATTTAGTACGACCCCCTCCCCACCGACCAAGTACACATGAAATTTTTCAACGAGGCTATCCACTGTCGCGATCAACAAGACTCCAAGCGTCCTTTCGTCAGAGTACTGATTCATTTCACGAAAATCATTATTTATTCCATATTTTTGAACATTCAGAAAAATACAAATCCCGTTCATTCTCGACATTTCTCATTCGTTCTAATCGTTTTGCATTCCGTCGCTTTGCCTTGCTAATAATCCACAACATCACTAGCGGTGTCAAGGCAGTGTAGTACGGTATGATCTGAAAAAGTACTACATTATAAGTAACCCCGCCTCTTTAGAAAACTATTTCAATGAGCGTTCGAACGGAAAAACTTACATAAGAAGCGGCAAACATTGTACGAAATATTATCAGAGATAAAAGATGTCTAAACATCGCTATAAGGACGCCGCTGCCAGTGAAAAAGAATAGAAACACCGCTTGGAAAAACGATAATGGACAGAGCATTTGAACGATGTGTTGATTCTCCCGTAGATGGAACGAATCACTCAAACAGTACGTCTTCCTGTAACAATTGAATTCTCAGTGAAATCGAAGAAAACGGTACCGTAACCTTCCACAACTTTACAGTAACGCTTTCCAAAACTGGGACTACTGTAACAAACTTTACGATGACTTGGTGATATGAAAATCAGTGTTTTTATGAATGCACTCGATTGTACCAACTAGATCTTAGACAGATGGGAAGTTGTGTCGGCCCAGACGACTGCACCCACGGACCGCTTAGGGTGCATTCATACTTGGCGGGAGTGTCCACCTGCGTGGCAGCGTGGGAAGCAGCTAGGAAATTATAGACAGCGTCTACCAGCGTCTGCTAGCGTGCAGCAGCGTCTACCAGCGTCCGGGAGAGGAGAGCAAGGCGTGGAAGGAGGAAAGCAGACACATGGTGCCCACCTCCCATGCCATATTCTCTCCAGCAGTCTGCCATCCTCCAGTCTTATTCTACCAGCTGTCTGCTGCCCTCCTATCGCGCCATCCTCACATCTTCCGAACGCTGGTAGACGCTGAGACGCTGGAGGAAGCTGATATATAGATATATAGATCGATATCTATACTTTCCTAGTCGCTGGCGCTGCCGGACGCTCGGATCGCTGGTGGACGCTGCCGCGAATTAAAACGAAGCCGAACGTGGTAAGCAGCGTTACTTGCCTCTGCTCTATCTTCGCCTGAAGCCAGATGAGTGAAACAGCCCCAAAAAAAGCTAAATTACAGCTGCGAACAGTCATTAACTATCAACGCTGCTGCCACAAGCTTCAGGACCACGTCTAGCCCAGGACAGATATACAACCCGCCCCTGAGTGCAGCAAGAGGCGTGGTGCGAGGGCGGCGAATTACAGACGAAAGAGGGTGGGGAAGCAGCGATTGCATAGAGAGAACAGCCGTCGCCAACATGCCCATTCTTGGCTTCCGATTCCATGCAACAAGTCACTACGTGACGATGAGCAAAACTGACAGTTCACCATGATCTTGCCTACATCACTGCCTCTTAGGTATCGCTTTCTTCCCATGTGAAAAAACTGTACACTACCCTACTACTACTACCTCCTCACTTCCCTTCCTTTAGTTCTGTAGGGAGTTTCCACGAGGAGCGAGATATTCATTATTTGAAGAACTGTTTCTCAGCAAACCTGATAAACCCCACCTCCGGACTACTCAAGCGCGATCTTCCCGGTGAAGATGCCCTTAAAAACGATTTCGGGCGATTCCTCGAAGTGCGCTGCTATAGACTCCCCTGCTCTCACCGCTTGCCCAGATTTTGACTAACATTGCTCTTCAGCCCCTGATTCTCTGCAGCTTCGTTGAATTCTGCGGTAAGCTAATGTCGTGTTCAAAGTAAACAAAGCCAAGACAAGAATCAGAGTTAATCAAGCTAAGACCCACGGAGACCAATCATCAGTTTACCAATTATAATTATCTGAGGAACTTCGTAAACAACTATATATCGAACGACTGGTTTCTGTTTTCTTCTTTTGTTGCTTTTCGATGGTAATTGAATCCTCTGACGCAGTGTTGACTAACTTTTGGACTATCTTCAATCTAGGTACCCAGATCTGGTCCCTTTTCTTTATAGTACAAAGGACTCTGTGTCTTGCCAACACTTGGGCAGAGCGTTTATCGGACGTTTAGTTCGAGTCTATCCCACGGGTATGCAAGCCTACTTCACTCAAATGGGCTGAACTCCAGCTCAGTGCAACAGAGTGGGGGAAAACGAAGCTGAGCCGCGCCTGAGCTTACACACGCTTACAAGCGACTAATCTTTTCATATGTACCAACATTGCACTCTCAGTTTAGGCTGCTTTCATACTTGCGCAGAATACATCCACCAGCGTCTACCAGCGTCCTCTAGCATTCCGAGTGTCAGGCAGCGTCGGGAAGTATAGATATCGATCTAGCATCTACCAGAGTCCGTCGTCCGCGCGTTCACCAGCGACCGGGAGTAGAGGCTAGGAAGTAGAAGAGGAGCAGACAGCTGCTTTGGTCGTGAAATTGTGGCTTTGCAACCGCACCGTACAACTACACTTCACCCTGCACTGAACTGCATAATTTTGTAGATTTAGCAGTTGCGCGGTGCGGTTGCACACGACACAATTTCACGACTCCTCACCCTCCCAGTTCCCCAAATTCTCTACTCCCGGTGGTAGGTGGACGCTGGTAGAAGCGGGCAACTCTGGCAGTCGCTAGATGTGATTACCCTATGTTTTCCCAGTCACTGCAACGACTCGCGAGCCTCGAAGAGCCGATCGTGTCCGCGGTGGACCGCCAAGGGAAGAACCAGCCTTTGACAACAAAAGTCGGAGCGCACATGGTCAGCGCAAGTAGGCTCATTCATTTGCGTCAGGTATAGGTGTCAAGACTGCGACCCTACCCAGCTGAAGCCTACACTAAACTAAGACCAGCTGACATTACTGTTGAACTAGGAGGGATAGAAACATCTGGCCCATTCTTGAAAGGAAGGAAAATGTGGTTGCCATCAAAAGTGCCTGGTCGTTTCTGCTCTTTTCGAACACACGCGCTATGGGTTAAACGAATGGGCACATACCAATGACCATAGGTCTTTTCCTATTGGGGAGGGGGGGGGGAGGAGGAGGGGAGACGGAGGGCTCTCCCTTCCACTACAGCCAAGAGAAAGGGCGCGTTGATGAGGAAGGCACTATTATTTGAGTCTCCGCCCACCAGATCACTGCAGAACAAGTCCCTTGTTGTTTATCCTATTATCTGAAGATTGCAAGACAAGGGACAAAGTTGGGCCGTAGGTCCTTCTCCTTGTAGGATGCGACGGATTGTGCGCGTAGAAACTGCGCCATTTGCCACTACACCACTCCTGCCTATCCTTTTCTCTGACACGGACTTTTTGCACTATACTTAATTGTTTTAGGTTTGCTAGACAAATGGGAATAGCGCAAACAACACGGTGTTTGGCCGAACATTTACCACGCGCTCATGTTAGTCTCTTTAAGCGGGGGTTTCCTCTTCAGTTCCCTCTCGATGTAGCGTAGCTAATCTTTTCGCGTTGCGGAGTGAAGCTATTACTGTAAGCAATTACTGTAAACTGAACATTACCTTTCCATTGCGTGCTTAATATAGACTTTCAGCAGTAGCGTTCCTATTAGCGATAAGGCGCATAAGAAACATAAGGTGACGTGAACGCTAGTAATACGATTAATCGTCTGGCTTGATCCTGAGGAGCAATACGCGTAAGAGTTCGAATAGTCCTCTGGTTGAATCGACCACAGCGTTACCATCGCTGAGAAAACCACCTAAAATGGCATTAATTACCATTTTTTTATTGGAAATTTTCAGCTTCCATTTGGATAGTTATCTATCTTGTGCAGCCTGGGTTCTACTGCCTACAAGAATATCTCTTTATCCTTGTAGACAGGGGAATCCAGACTGCAAGACAAGACTGCTTCACACTTTAATATTCGGGTGACTCGAAGAGCAATTTGGATATTTTTGAGATTCTATCGAATACTTTTAAATGAATTCACATCACCAATACCAACAACAGAGTGAAAAGACAGTTGCTGACGCGAACGGAGTCGAGCGGCCGCTTGGTCAACAGTGAGCGCTGAGGCTCCGACCTTACGTTTTTCCGATGCGAAACCGGTGCGCAGTTCCCTATCGGGCCACACTACTGTCCCTTTCTTACCGAGCTTTGATACTTATATAGTCGCGGAATGCATCCAGCAAATTCCAAAGTAGCCTCAGTTAAAGCGGGGTCGAGAGATGAATAGTAGTAGAGGCGCTGCTATCACTTGTAAGACCTTGGGGCCCATCCGAACTATTAAACCCCTCTTGTCAGACTTAAACGAATTGTAGTAGAAAAACACAATTCGAACTTTGGCGGTCAAGCTCACAGATTTGAAGGCATGGTCCGCGATCGGGTATGTGTGGAGGTTGAAAATATGGGAGGGGGTAGTTCTCGACGAATAGCCTTGTACCGGTTTCGCGGCAAAAAATTGTAAGGGAGGGGCGCTATAGCGCAATATAGGTTCAGTGACGCCTCCTTTTTTCCAGTGACTCCGCCTCCAGACTCCGCCTTCAAGGCCCGCCTTTCAGTGAAAAACGAAGCTGCAGGACGAAAAAGCATGAAAATCGTCACTTGTACGGTCGTAGAGTTCTTATCGGGGAATCAGCTGTGCGGATGAGGGCGTAATGTTGGAGATGGAGTTCATTTGGTACGTAGAAACAGGCATCGAAATGGGTTCTATCTAGGGCAGTTGGCATGTTTCTTCTGCTTCACTATCGAGCTACTCAGAACCTTGTCGTCTATATGCAAAGCCTCGTCCACTATCTTGGGAGCTTTGCCTCTACAGCAAGCGTCTCGCCACAACCCGTTACTAGTAAATGATATAATCAATTAAAACATAAAGAAATGTAACATATGCAATATAAAATACAAACTAAATATTTCTCTGAGCACTTTCCTTGATCTGAATAGAAAGAGAATGCATGGATTTTCTGGAAGAATGAACTGCACTACCAGGTGTTCTTTCCCTTCGAAGACCAGTTTGTTATCGAAACCCCCTTCGTCCCCCCTACTGAGGTGGTTGCTAGGGAATCTTATTCTGCAGCCGAAATTTTTAGTTCTTTTGGCAAATCAGCAGTTTCAGTTCATTCCAAAAAAAGTGGTGTGTAAAGAGGGTCTGAAGATATATGGCAATGCCACTGTACGCGACTGCAGACTAAAATAAGGGGCAAGCAGTCCACCTTATGTGATAAGGAAAAATTGGGGTGGTCAGCATACTGTCCACAACCCCCCCCGCCCCCCGTCGACTTTGTGCGCTTCATCCCAGAAGTAAAGTTCCACTAGATACCTCCAACTTCCTTGCTTACTTCAACTTATCCGTGAGGAAACCGGTGAAGGAATGAGGGCAAATTTTACACCGTGAGACTATTTCAGAAACAAATGCAACCTTCAAAGTAATTCATTACTTGATTTATCGCCTCGTTCTGTCAGTAATAGAAAGAAAAACATAAGGAACGTACACCAGAAACCAGAAGAGTGGCTCCAAGCAGCCAACTGCTTTTCTCGTAATCAGCTTTTCTGAACATTGCTGCCAACCGTTCCACAACCATCATAAACTGAAAGTCGAAATTTGCATTTGAGTGCAGATAACACGTGTCCACCAGTGAACTCTGTGACTGTGACCTCTACCACGCGCGCGGCTGCGTAGCGGTTTGGTTGGGCTGTCCAAGGAGCGAGCCAGCGGGCCATGTTTGGGCCGAAACTATTTCCTACTCTTTGTCTATTGCGCCTTAGGAACTGGCCGCAAAGGAAACAGGAAACTGTGCGACTACTGGTTGGTGCATGTCAATGAATTCGACATGCTCTAGCACTTTCACATTATCATTCAGGTTATGGAGCGAATGGCGCGCACGCGAAGTCGCTTCTAATGTTACACGGTAACGCGGATCCCATGTTCCGTATCAGGCTGGGTAGGTCAGGAAGTGAGAAATCAAGAAAAGGTCGGAGCTAGTAAAAAAACTTTAGGAAAGCTTCTGAAATCCTCTCCGAATTAGAGCAAGGAGAGGTTGACAAGAACCGGGGCACGTTTTTCCTTGGGATCCCTGTTTCACAGGTACCTTCCAACTACGACCCCCCCCCCACCTCGCGACGTGCCCTGCTTATGGGGTACAACCCAAGAGTCATGAGGACGCGGCGTTGGAATCGAAACAGACCTTTCAAATGGCGCCGAGAGCCATTGCGCCATGTACAGACCCATTACCCCATATTGTTTTGAGGCGCGAATCGGCGACGGGGGGCATTTTGCACCTTGCCGCTTCATTAGTTCCGAGTCCAAGTCTCACTCTGGTGCAACCTGTGATTTCTTGTGAAGCTGGAGAAATTCGTCATGGTGAAGCCTGTCATCTTTGGTAAGCTCATGAAATATTCTCCTAGATTGCGATGGGAAGCCGGCAAAAGTGCAAAACGTCCCCCCGCCCGTCGCCGAACTGCGCCCTGCTTTCGTAGCCACGTTCCACGCTGGTCATATGGACAAAGTTGGATCCATCATTCCGTTTCTCACTAGTGCATCACTCCTCTCTACCGTATCAGAAAATAAAGGCAAATTAACGAGCAAGGCACAGCAGCAGGCCAACCACGCCTACGTAATCATCGAGGAATGTGCTTCTAAAGTTGAGTCAATCCATACCTGCAGGATAACTATCGAAATGTACGAGGTGGTGAGCGGAAACCGTAGCATTGTACATATGGTAGCTGGGGTGACGATGTCACAGGGGGAGACGGAAGACAGATATTTCCATAAATGCATGAGCTGAAAGTAATCGACATTTCTCTTTTTTTGGAAATTTTTTCACATTTCTCGATAACGAAATATGCCACTAAATATATACATCTGAGGGCAACAAGGGACGTGGCAGCGAAATCGGCGAGGGTTCGGACCAAAGGGAAGCACAGACGTTTGAGCGCCGGAAGTTTCCAGCAA